CTATCATCGGGGGACCACATTCTATCTGCGGAACAACTTCATCATGCAGGGGGAGCAACAGTCTATAATGCAGGGGAGCCACAGCTATCATCAGGAGGAGCCAACTTCTATCCTGCAGGGGGAGCAACATGTCATCATCAAAAGGGGAAAAATTCATCAGCAGGGGGAGCCACATTCTACATGCAGGAGGAGCCACAGTCTACATGCAGGAGGGGCCACATTCTTCATGCGGAGGACCCCCAGTCTATCATGCAGGGGGACAACATTTTACATGCAGGAGGGGCAACAGTCTATCATGCAGGAGGAGCCACATGTCTATCATGCAAGAGGAGCCACATGTCTATCATGCAAGAGGAGCCACATGTCTATCATGCAGGAGGAGCCACATGTCTATCATGCAGGAGGAGCCACAGGTCATAAAGCGGAGGAGCCACAGGGCACATGCAGGAGGACAAAAAAATTCATCATCAGGGGGACAACATGTTAACAGCAGGGGGAGCACATGTCTATCAGCAGGGGGAGCCACAGTCATATGCAGGAAGCCACATTTTATCAGCAGGAGAGCAACATTCTACATGCAGGAGGGGCAACATTCTATCATCGGGGGGGCCACATGTCTATAATGCAGGGGGAGCCACATGTCATCATGCAGGGGGGACCACATTTCATCAAGCAGGGGACCCAGGTCTATCATGCAGGAGGGGCCACAGGTCTATCATGCAGGGGGAGCCACAGGGCCCATATGCAGGAGGAGCAAAAAGTCATCATGAGGAGGAGCAACATGTCTATAAACAGGAGGACCACATGTCTACAAAGCGGAGGGCCACATGTCTATCAGCAGGAGAAACCAATGTCTACATGCAGAGGGGCCACATCACATGCAGGAGGAGCCACAGTTATCAGCGGGGGGGGGCCACATTCAACAACAGGAGGACCCCCAGGCTATCAGCAGGAGAAGCCCATTCTATCATGCAGGAGGAGCCCCTGTCTATAGCAGGGGGAGCCACAGTTATCATGCAGGAGGGGGCCCCAGGGGCATCATCAGGAGGAGCCCCAGGCTACATGCAGGAGGACCCAGTCTATCATCAGGGGAAGCCACAGTCTTTTCAGCAGGGGGACCACATGCTACAGCAGGGGAAGCCACAGGCTATCATGCGGAGACCCAAGGGTTATCATCAGGAGAAGCCCCAGGTCTACATGCAGGGGGACCACGATCTATCGCAGGAGGAGCCCCAAAGGGCTATCAGCAGGAAACCCAGGTCTATCATGCAGGAGGGGCCACATGTCTATCATGCAGGAGGGGCCACAGGTCAAACATCAGAGGGGCCACAGGTCTATCATGCAGGGGGAGCCACAGGTCAAACAGCAGGGGGAGCCACAGGGCCCCTCATGCAGGAGGACCCAGGTCTTCAGCAGGAGACCACAGGTCTATCATGCAGGGGGACCACAGGGCACATGCAAGAGGAGCCCAGCTATGGTCATCCAACAAGATAAAACCGACTCTTGGATGTCACACCGCCCGGGGCCCGCTGGGTTACAATATCTTTTGGGAGGTTAAAACCCACCACCAAGTCAAAACCAAAAAAATGTAAACTTTACCGATGGACACTTTCATACCTTTATTCATTATGACTAAGAAATGTAATGACACACTGCAACAAACCATACACGGTGGGGATAGAACCCGCGGGGAAAATCCCCGCCCTGGTATGGTTTTAGTCATTATGTCCGGACGGGAAAAATTAATGAATTTTAGACAACTCACGAAAATGTTTAAGATAGCAGAGTATTTTACCCCAAGTAAATTTTCAAACCCTTCTGGGAAATACCCTGTCTTTGCCCATGTAAATTGTGTATGTCGTAATCAATATTTACTTAAAAACTCATTCAATTGTGACCAGGGGTTGGGCTGTGCCGTTCAGCTATTAAAAGTTGGGTCCAGTCCCTGGGCCCATTATGTACCTTTGTAATCTTGTGAGTACCACCCACACCATAGGTATGGTGTGACTACCACCCACACCATAGGTATGGTGTGACTACCAACCACACCATAGGTATGGTGTGACTAACCAACCCACACCATAGGTATGGTGTGACTACCAACCACAGTGGGTATGGTGTTACTAACCACCCACAGGATAGGTATGTGTGACTACCACCCACAGGATGGGTATGGTGTGACTACCACCACAGTGGTATGGTGTGACTACCAACCACAGATGGTATGGTGTGACTACCACCCCAGGAGGGTATGGTGTGACTACCACCCACAGGATGGGTATGCCCATGTGGACTACCACTCACATGAGGGTATGGTGTGACTACCACCCACATGATGGTATTGTGTGACTACCACCCACAGATGGTATGTTGTGACTAACCACCCACAGATGGTATGATGTGACTACCACTCACATGGGTATGTGTTACTACCACCACACCAGATGGTATGGTGTGACTACCACCCACAGGATGGTGTAATGGTGGTTGACTACCACCCACAGGATGGGTATGGTGGTGACTACCACACAGATGGTATGGTGTGACTACCACCCACAGGAGTGGTATGGTGTGACTACCACTCACAATGGGTAGGTGTGACTACCACCCAACAGATAGGGTATGGTGTGACAACCCACAGGATGGGTATGGTGTGACTACCACCCACCAGGAGGTATGGTGTGACTACCACCCACAGGAGGTATGGTGTGTACCATAGTATGACCACCCACAGATGGTATGGTGTGACTACCACCCACAGGATGGGTATGGTGTGACTACCACCCACAGGATGGTATGGTTGACAACCACCCACAGGATGGGTTGGGTGTACTCCCACCCACAGGATGGTAGGGGTGATAAAAACGATTTTAAAACCAAGTTTAGAACTTACTATTTAAACCCAAAAAATTTGCATTCTAGTGAACTATTGCATAGAAAAATTAAATTTTTCAGACTGTCCATCTATTGGTGCAGGCTTCCTATCCATTATTTGGGTGCGGGTTTCCCATCCAGCAGTTGGTGCAGGTTTTTCCAGTCCATGCTAGTTTGCAGGCTTCGACCATGCAGTTGGTAAGGTTTCGTATCCAGCTAGTGGTCAGGCTTCCAAAACCGCTAGTTGGCAGGCTCCACCATGCTATTGGTGCAGGTTTTCCAGTCCATCTAGTTGGGGGCAGGCTCCTAGTCCATGCTATTTTGGTACAGGCTTCGAGTCCATCTATTGGTGCAGGTTTTCCAACCAGCAGTTGTGCAGGTTTCCCTGGCCATGCATTGGGTGCAGGTTTTCCTAGCCATGCTTTTGGGGTGCAGGCTTCTACCTGCATTTGGGTGCAGGCTTCCTAGTCCATGCATTTGGGTCAGATTTCCCACCATGCGGGTTTGGGGTGCGGGCTTCCTAGTCCATGCTATTTTGGTGCAGGCTTCTAGTCCAGCTATTTGGTGCAGCTACCTAGCCCATGCTAGTTGGCAGGCTTTCTATCCATCTAGTTGGTGCAGGCTCCCTACCCAGCTAGTTGGTGCGGGGCTTCGTATCCTGCTATTTGGGTGCGGGTTTCCCTATCCATGCTATTGGTGCGGCTTCCTACCCCATGCTTTGGTGCGGGGCTTCCTACCCATGCTATTTGGGGGCAGGTTTCGTATCCATGCTAGTTGTCAGGTTTCCTTCCATGCTATTGTGCAGACTTCCTACCCTGCTGGTTGGCAGGCTTCCTATCCATGCTATTTGGGGCAGGTTTCGTATAAATGCTAGTGGGCGGCTACCTAGCCATCTAGTTGTGCAGGCTTTCTATCCTGCACTGGTGCGGCTTCGTAGTCCATGCTAGTTATGCAGGCTTCGTATCCTGCTTTTTATGCAGGTTTTGTAGTCCAGCAGTGGTGCAGGCTCGTACCCCATGCTAGTTGGTGCAGCTTCGTAGACCATGCTAGTTGGTGCAGGCTTCGTAGCCCCATCTAGTTGGTGCGGGTTCGTATCCAGCTATTTGGTGCAGGCTTCGTAGACCATGCAGTTGGGCGGCTCGTATCCATGCTATTTGGGTGCAGGCTTCGTAGTCCATGCTATTTTGGTGCAGCTTCCATCCATCTATTGGGGTGCAGGTTTCGTAGTCCCTAGTTGTGCAGGCTTCGATCCATGCGGGTTGGGGTGCAGGCTTCGTAGTCCATGCTAGTTGGTGTGGGCTTCGTATCCATGCTAGTTGGTGCAGGTTTCTAGTCCATGTAGTTGGTGCAGGCTTCGAGCCAGCAGTTGGTGGGGCTACGTAGACCTGCATTGGTGCAGGCTTCGTATTCCATGCTAGTTGGGGCAGGCTTCGTAGTCAAGTAGTTGGTGCGGGTTTTCCTAGTCCATCTATTGGTGCAGGCTTCGTAGCCATGCTAGTTGGTGCAGGTTTCGTATCCATGCTAGTTGGTCGGTTTCGTAGTCCATGCTATTGGGTGCAGGCTTCGTATCCATGCTATTTGGGTGTAGGCTCGTAGACCATCCAGTTGGTGCGGGCTTGTAGTACATGCTATTGGTGCGGGCTTCGTAGTCCATGCTAGTTGGGCAGGCTTCGTGTCCATCTTGTTGGTGCGGGTTTCGTAGACAGCAAAATTTGGTGCGGGTTCTATCCATGCTATTTGGGTGCGGGCTCGTAGCCCTTCTATTTGGGCAGGCTTCGTATCCATGCTATTTGGGTGCAGGCTTCGTATCCTGCAGTTGGTCGGCTCGTAGTCTATCTAGTTGGTGTAGGTTTCATAGACCAGCCATTTGGGCGCGGGCTTCGTTTTCCATCTATTTGGGTGTAGCTTCGTAGTCCATGCTATTGGTGCGGGCTTCGTAATCCATGCTACTTGTTGCAGGCTTCGTAACAATGCTAGTTGGTGCAGGTTCGTGTCCGTGGTAGTTGGTGCGGGTTTTCGACCGTGGCATTGGGTGCAGGCTTCGAAACCGGCAGTTGGGCAGCTTCCTAGTCCAGCTAGTTGGTGCAGGCTTCCTAGTCCGTGCTATTGGTGCAGGCTTCGTAGCCATGCTAGTTGGTGCAGGCTTCGTAGACCAGCTATTTGGGGTGCAGCTTGTAGACCTGCTATTGGGCGGGTTTCGTAACCAGCTAGTTGGTGCAGGCTTCGGTCCAGCTACTGGTTCAGGCTTCGTAGCCCTGCATTGGTCAGCTTCGTACCCGGCATTTTGGAGCAGGTTTCGTAGTCCACGCTAGTTGGTCAGGCTTCCTAGTCCATGCTTTGGGTGCAGGCTTCGTAGTCCATCTAGCGGGGTGCAGGCTTTCGTATCCGTGCATTTGGTGCGGGCTTCGTAGCCGTGCTAGTTGTGCGGCTTCGAGCAATGCATTTTGGGTGCAGGGTTCCTAATCATGCAAGTTGGGTGCAGGTTTCCTAGCCCCGGCTAGTTGGGAAAGGCATCGTATCCATACAGTTGTGCAGCTTCGTATCCATGCATTTTTGGGTAAGCTTCGCAGTTCAGCTAGTTGGCCGGTTTCGTGTCCATGCTACTGGTGCATGCTTTCTAGCCCCATCTATTTGGTGCAGGCTTCGTAACATGCAGTTTGTGGGCTTCAAAAGAGCATGCATTTTGGTGAGGCTTGTATCCATGCTAGTTGGTGCAGGTTTCGTAGACCACTAGGTGCGGGTTTCGAGACCATGCTAGTTGGGCAGGCTTCGTATCCTGCTTTTTTGGTCCCTTTTTTGAAAGACCTGCTAGTTGGGCGGGCTTCATACCCCCGCTAGTTGGTAAAGGGGTTTCGTAACAGCTAGTTGTGCGGGCCCCTTTCGTAGACCATGCTAGCTGGGCGGGTTTCTAGTCCATGCACTGGCGGGCTTCCTAGCCCATGCAGCTGGTACGGGCTTCCTAGCCTACGCTACGGGTGCGGGCTTGCTGACCTTGCAGCTCACAATCCAGTACTGTCCATGTTAACTGTCCTTTTTTTAACGGGCCATCTTGCGGGCCCTCTAGCTACGAAACTAATGACCATGCAGAGGGTCCATTGTACGGTCCTGCATTTGGGTCCACAGCACCCCATGCTAGAGGTTCGTGCTAGTTTTTTCATGATAGCGGGTCAATACAAACTCACTGTCCATGTGTCTGGTCCATGATGCTTTTTTCATACACCCACTGTCCAGGGAAATTGCGGGTCCATGATAGCGGGTTCATACAGGCTACTGGCCCATCAGGCTTGCTGTCCATGATGCTGGCCCATACAGGCTCACTGTCCTCGGGCTTGCTTGCCCATGATAGCTGGTCCAACACCCAAATGGTCCATGCAGGCTTGCTGGTCCATGAACGGGTTCATGCAGTTTAAAGGGTCCAGTTATCTGTCCATAGAGGCTTGCCGGCCCAGCACTGGCCCGCATGCTTCTGGCCCAAAAATTTATACACAAGAAATACACCTTTTTATTAATATACCCTGATATATATTCCCTTCACTTAATATACTTAATATACAAGGAATCCCAAAACCCCCGGGAGGGGCCCAGAAAGGGCAAAAAAGGTAACGGGGTTGGACGGACCCAGCTCACACACTGGGGACCGTGGTTCGACCTTTGCACGGGTGGGCACATTAGGACGAAATTTCCAAGACACCTACCCCCCGTTCACCTAGCCAAAAAATACCTGGGGTTAGTGGACGGTGGGGGCGCATCCTGGGGTAAAGCCGACCTTTTGGGGCGGGATATTTATATTAATAAATTTCTGTTGCTAAAAGCTTTGGAAAAGGAAACAAAAGGTTGTGAACCATTTTTAATCGACATTATCAAACTTTAATACCATGAACATGGTGATAAAATACAAAAAGACAAAGAGGGGTACTAAATTTAAGGTCCGTTGTTACCCATTAACTCAGTCAATGGCTTAGGTGCCTTTTATATAACGGTCAGCAATTATCTTTTCGCGTCCCCTACGACCACAAAAGGGATTAGAAGTCTGTTTGAGTGCAGGAGATTATGCAAGTTAATCTTGTTTTATTTTTGTGTGGATTTACTTTTTTTTATCGTTTTCCAACAACTGTGGGTTTCCATACATCGTTGTTCCATCAACGTGTTTTCCCTGCTCGTTGTTCCCTCAACTTGGGTTTTCCCTGCATCTGTTTTCCCTCAACGTGGTTCCCTGCATCTGTTGTTTTCCCCCAACGTGGTTCCAACTCTGTTTTCCATCAAAGTGGTTCCAGCTCTGTTTTCCTCAAAACCCCTTTTGTTTTGTGGTTATATTTTTTTCCCCCCCATCTCGTTTTTTCCATCAACTTGGTTTTCCCTGCATCGTTGTTCCCCAACTTGGTTCCTCATTGTTTTCCTCAACGGGCCATCACTTTGTTCCTCAAATGGGTTCCATCATCTGTTGTTCCATCAACTTGGGTTTCCTCATCTGTTGTTCCCAACTGTGGGTTTCCCTAAATCTGTTGTTCCTCAACGTGGTTTTCCCTCATCGTTGTTCCTCAACGTGGTTCCATACATCTGTTGTTCCCAACGTGGTCCAACACTGTTGCCCTCAACGTGGGTTTATACACTGTTTTCCTCAACTGTGGTCCAGCACTGTTGTTTCCCCCCCCCAACCTGGGGTTTATACATCTGTTGTTCCCTCAACTGTGGTTCCATCACTGTTTTTCCTCAACGTGGTTCCATACATCTGTTTTTCCCCAACTGTGGTTTTCCTACTCTTTTTCCTCAACGTGGTTCCATCATCTGTTGTTCCTCAACTGTGGTTTCCCCATCGTTTTCCCCCAACTGTGGTTTCCATGCATCTGTTGTTCCACAAAAGTGGGGTTCCCCGCACTTTTTCCCCCAACTGGGTTCCATACATCTGTTGTTTTATCAAATTGGGTTTCCATCATCTGTTGTTCCCCAACTGTGGTTTTCCCTCATTTTTTTCATCAAAGTGGTTCCATGCATCTGTTGTTCCTACTGTGGTCCATGCATTTTTTTTCCCTCAAATGTGGTTCCAGCATCGTTTAAGTTCCATTTTTTTAACGTGGTTTCCGCATCTGTGTTCCCTAACTTGGTTCCATGCATCTTTTTTCCCCCAACGTGGTTCCAGGCATCTGTTGTTCCATCAACGTGGTTCCAGCATCTGTTGTTTCCTCAAATGTGGTTCCCGGGATCGTTGTTTCCCCCCAAATTGGTTCCATGCATCTGTTGTTTCCATCAACTGTGGGTCCAGCATCTGTTGTTCCCAAAAGTGGTTCCAGCATCTGTTTTCCCTCACCGGGTTTCCCTGCAATTTTTGTTCCATCAACGGGTTTTCCCTGCATCTGTTTTCCTCAACTTTTGGGTTCCATGATCTTTGTTCCCTCAACTGTGGTTCCATGCATTGTTGTTCCATAAACTGTGGGTTTCCATGCATCTGTTGTTTCCTTTTTAACACGGAAGGTTTCCATGCATCTTTGTTCCCCCCACTGGGTTCCAGCATCTGTTTTTTTCCCCAAACCCCGTGGTTCCATGCATCTGTTGTTCCCCACTGTTTTTCCATCATCTGTTGTTCCCTCACCCCGTGGTTTCCATGCATCGTTGTTTCCCCAACGTGGGCCCTGCATCTGTTGTTCCCTCAACTGGGTTCCAGCATCGTTGTTTCCCCAACGGGGGTTTCCCTCATCTGTTGTTCCCCCAACGTGGTTCAAGCATCTGTGTTTTCCTCAAAGGGTTCCATGCATCGTTTTCCTCAACTGTGGTTTTCCCGCATCTGTTTTTTCCCTCAACTTTGGGTTTTTATCATCGTTTTCCCTCAAAATGGGTCCATGCATCTTTTTGTTTTTTCAACTGTGGTTCCAGGGATCTGGTTTTTTTTTTCCTCACTGTTTCCATCAAGTGGGTTCCCCCTTTTCCCCCAAGTGGTTCCATGCATCCGTTGTTCCCAAATGTTTCCTGCATCTGTTGTTCCCTCAACTGTGGTTCCCGCATCGTTTTCCTCAAATGTGGTTTTAGCATCTGTTTTTCCCTCAACTGTGGTTCCAGGCATCGTTTTTCCATCAACTTGGTTTTCCCCATCGTTGTTCCTCAAATGTGGGTTTCCTGTCTGTTGTTCCTTCAACTGTGTTCCATGCTTTTTTTTTCCTCAAAATGTGGTTCCAGCTCTGTTTTCCCTCAACTGTGTTCCAGCATCTGTTGTTTCCAAATTTTTAACTGTTTTTCCCCAAAGGGGCTCTGTTGTTTTCCTCAACTGTGGTTCCAGCATCTTTGTTTCATCAACTGTGGTCCCGCATCGTTGTTCCCAACGTGGGTTTCCCTGCACTTTTTTCCCTCAACTGGGTTCCATCATCTGTTGTTCCATCAACTTTTCCAGCATCTGTTTTTTTTCCTCAATTGGTTTGGGATCTGTTGTTTTCCCTCAACTGTGGTTCCCCGGCATCGTTGTTCCCCCCAACGGGTTCCAGGGATCTGTTTTTTCCATCAACTGTGGGTTTTTTGGGATTTTTTTTCCTCAACTGTGGTTCCCGGGATCTGTTGTTCCATCAACTGTGGTTCCCCGGGATCTGTTTTTTCCATCAAATGTGGGTTCCAGGGACGTTTTTTCCATCAACGTGGTTCCGGGATCTGTTTTTCCTCAACTTGGTTTTCCCGCATTTTTTCCATCAACTGTGGTTCCAAGCACTTTTTTTCCTCAACTGTGGTCCAGGCATCTGTGTTCCTCAACGTGGTTCCGGCATCTGTTGTTCATCAACTGTGGTTCCAGGCTCGTTTTTCCCTCAACTGGGTTTCCAGGCATCTGTTGTTCCTCAACTGTGGTTCCATGCTTGTTGTTCCACACTGTGGGTTCCAAACATCTGTTTTCCATCAACTGGTTCCAGGCATCTGTTGTTCCATCACTGTGGTTCCAGGCATCGTTTTCCATCAACTGTGGTTCCAGGATCTGTTTTCCATCAACTGTGTTTTCCCGGATCTGTTTTCCCTCAAAGGTTCCAGCATTGTTTTCCATCAACGGGTTCCGGGATCTGTTTTCCCCTCACTGTGGTTCCAGAAACTGTTTTTCCATCAACTGTGGGTTCCAGGCATCTGTTTTCCTCAACTGTGGTTCCAGGGTTTTGTTGTTCCATCAACTGGGTTCCAGGTATCTTTTTCCATCAACTGGTCCAGCATCTTTTTTCCCTCAACTGGGTTCCACATCTGTTTTTTCCCTCAACTGGTTCCATAATCTGTTGTTTTCCCCCCCCAAATGTGGTTTGGGACTGTTGCCCCCATTCCC